TCCTATAGTATATCTTGGTACACAAGTTGACTTAACTAAGATACTCTTTTCATATCCTATGCTTTGGTTTCTGATTTTGAAGAGTCATGTCTAAAAAATTAATTTTTTTCTGATATTTGTTCAAAAGAATTAATATACTCCTACAGGTTTACTTTAATGTCATAAATGTTGCTGCCACTAAAACAGAAATTTATGAGAAATAATTTTAAAAATCCTCTACTGTTGTCATTGGACTGAAACTTATTTGTTGCCATACTTTGACGTAAGTTTGACATGTCTCTTCCTTTGTCATAAATACATGTACTTTATAAGTACAGACCAGTAGAGCTACAGTTTTGTCAGAGATTTTGGTTGAAGTATTGTGTGTCTGTGATTGTAGAAATAAGGTTGTGTGTAAGGCCATCATTTACATTAAAAACCCTGAATTAACTTATATTTCATAAAATATATTTATGCAGATTGTTATACTGCATTTCTCAAGGTTCTTCTGCTTTATGTAAACACAGCTTCAAATTTTCATCCCTTCTTTTTGTATTACTAGATTTAGTAATAGATTAATAAATGATGGATCATTTCTTTGTAAATTTGTCATGTTTTTTTTTTGTGTCTTTCCTTTACAATCTTGGGGCTTTTTTTTATTATGAATAGCTATAAGGTTTGTTTAGTTTTTACTCATAAGACTGACCAATCTCATGAAATGATGAGCAGATTTGAGCTTAAACAATCTAATTGTAACTACACTAAAGCGTGTTCAATGTATGATAAATTTCAAGGACAGGTAATACAACATTCTGCTTAAATTGATATATACTAGTAGTTTTTACCTCTTTGACAATAAGTTAGGCAAATATAAAATTACTAAAATATTGGAGCAAATGCTTAAATAGCTGCAATGTCCTCCTCTGCGATTTTTTTTTAAATCTGCTATTTTACTGGAGAGGCAATAATGTAGCGCCCTTTCCCCCCCTTTTTGTGTGTGTGTGTGTGTGGGGGGGGGGGGGGGGGAGGGCTACAACTCCTAAGGATTTCCGTAATGGTGCAATTGCGGGAGCGATTCACTCCCGCACAGATTTCAATCGGCTCAAATTGTCAAAAAATGGTTATTTTTATATTAACATTTCTTACCTGGACGCCCAAAATGTAGTTATGTAAGACATAAATCGATCCAAAAATATACAGAACGATCCATATATCGGCCATTTTTCGTGTATGTCAACATCACAACTTGAATTTATCCGCCATGTTTCCTGACCTTGATAGATTTTATTTTGGGACACCCAATGCGAATTTAGATCTACAATGTATATGAGCGGATCTTTTGGGAATTCCCTTATTTTAGCCTAAATATCGCTGTCTACGAAAAAATAACACATGGAATGGTTTTATTTATCTACGTTTAGTGCTACTAAACATCACAATTATTCATAAACATCGACATTTGCTCTATTTAGCTATTCTAATTTCAAGCGCAAACTTTTCTCAGTACGTCACGCATGAACTGTCATGGCTGCTGAGTAGAGCGACTGGTAAACACGCAGATTTATTCTACATGGTTTTTGTGTTTAAAGGGCTATGTTGTTGATAGCGAATAAAGATTTCGTCTTATTAGAAGTAAGTTGAAAGTAAAAACTATTTATTTTGTCTACAGTCGCCCGTATTTAAGGTAGGATTCTTCTCTGGTTTCTGAGTAGATGAAATATTCAATGTATATTTGCTTGTATGTCTTATATTATTAGGTGAAAGAGATTTAAATGACCATATTTTTCTTTCCTCATCACAATTGTACCACCTTAAATAGCAGATGGTAAATTGTGTTCGAAAACTAGCAGGGACTATATTTTTCGCGGAATGGTGGCATGTGAAAATATCTTCTTTTCTGCCCCTCAAAATTATTATAGAACGACGAGTTTAGATATAAATTTTTGCACAATCAAAGACTTCAAAAGTTTTTCAAATGTTAGCTAAATTAATAATAAGGAACTAAAGTTTGGAAATATATCAAATAAATATGATTTTTCAAACAAACTACAATTATGTTAGCTTTTAAAAACTTCCAATCTATGTACAGATATGAGCCAAAAATCCATAGAAAGTGTTTTTACTCTATTAGTAAACGGTCAAAACTTTTTGTTTTTGTATCATTTTGTATCTCTATATGACTTCTTTACCATATGTGAAAATAAAAAAAATTTAAATATAGGGCGCATATAAAAATAACATATATCGTAAAAATTTATGAAAAATAGAGAAAATTCGGATTAGTCAAAATCCATTTTTGTTAAACTATTTGTGTCAATTTGGTAATATCATCTTATAGACTCTATATATTATTATATCTTTTTATGCATAAAGAAAAAAATTTAATCTTTTGAAATAGAAGACCCTATCGCATGATTGGATGTAGTTATTTTTATTCTTAATGCCCAGGGAAAAGGTAATGACCTTGACCCTGATATGAAACGGTCAAAACTAATCTAACTGATACCATCACTTAGTAATATTGTCTTCTTGATTCTGTGAAAATTTCATTAATTTTTAAATACAAGAAATACAGTTTTGTGTGAGAAGAATCCTACCTTAAAAATATATTTACACCATTATGGAGATGCTATGGAATTGTAGCCCTCTCCAGAAAAAAAAACATCAGATTAAAAAAAATTGGAGAGGGCTACATTAGTGCAGCCACTCACTCCCCCACCCCAAAAAGGGGGACTACATTATTTCAGCAAATGCTTAAAATGTAAACTATGCAATGTCTGTTACTATATAAAGAAATGTCTTGTATGTAAAAATATTGGTACGAAATATGACAAAATATTCAATAGAACGTCAAGCTCAAAATTTCTTCGTAAAAATAAACAAATTGGGCAGAACAAACATGGGCCTTTGAAAACATCAGAGGTGAGACCAGATGCCACAGAGGGATAGAACGAGAAAGCATTGCCTGTCAATTTGTCATATCCTCCATTTGATTGCAGACTTAATTGGGAAAACAAACAAAAAAGTCGACATGGTGTGAAAAAATGGCTTAACTATTCGCAGAAAAAAAACGTTAGTAATTCGCAGGAGACTGAATGATTTTGCAAATCAAATCAACTTGGATACATAAACTATATGATTATGTAATGAAATATATGGAGTGAAACATACGGAGATAACGAAAAGTTTTCAAGATCAAAAGTCCATTAAACAACACAAATTAGGAGCAGAGCAAACACAGACCCCCAAAACATCAGAGGTGGGATCATGTGTCATGGAGGAGAGAGCATCCCTTGCCAACCGGTCACACCCGCCGTGTGCTCCTTGTCATGATCGGAAAATAACAGAAAAATCCGTCGTCAATCCGTCGTCATTTCAGTGTATAAATAATGGACTAACAATAAGTATGAAAAACGTCAGTCAGCATTTGACTCAGTGATAAATTGTATTTGCAGACAAGGTCATTGTATCGACCTTAAAACTTACGAAATGATGACTTTAAATGAGACTGCTGATATTCTTGTTTCATCAACTTCTTTGTCAATGATTTATACCTCATTTTAGAAAAAATTAATACGTAGAGCATGCTTTTGTGTATCGAATAAACTCGGTATGCAGGTGATGAAGTATATTGCTGCATAGGTAAGGGTAGTTGACGACTGTAAAGTTAAAGTCATCACGTTTATCATAGAGCTTGGTTGTTAGATTACCATTAACGTCTTTTTCAAGTAAAATATCTAAATATAAAACAGATGTGTCAGACTCGATCTGTGATGTCTCTTTTCTCAAGCTTGGAATTTTTAAGTATCCACATCTGATCTGATAATTTATAAAGGAAGAGTAAAGAAAGATGCTTGGTTGAACATTTACTGGAACCCGTTATGTATTTTTGTTTAAAGGATTTTTATGATGTTTCGGAATCATACTTATACTATACATAATATAATTACAAAGGCTCGAAATTCTTACGTACATGTAAATTATAATATGCAAAATGGCTTTCGTTTTTGAAAAAAAATGCTTAATGTTCATCACCATCGATCAATTTCATTGCAAATATCAGTTTACATCATTTGAAAGTTCATTTCATTAGAAGGAATAAAGAAAATTCTTCAATGAAGATAGAACAAAACTGTTCTCTTCATAACAAAAATGAAATTGAGTATGCATTACATTCAAAACACCCTGTTAAGTGTTTGCGTACATACAATCTGTAGAGAGATAGTTACACACAGACTTGAAACAAAACTCGTATTCTTCCTGTAAAAGAAAGTATAAATCGGTAATTTATTACTTATACATGATATTGATAATTTATTACATATGATTAAGTTACTGAAAATTCATTTCTTATACATTTGATCCATCTAAGAATATAAGAGACCACTAAAAATACAAAATTGATTAAAGAATGGATATAAAGGAACCTTAGTAGAAATCATTTCTGGTCGGCGACAATGAAGTTGTTGTACAATGGTAAACATATCTATCTCGCCGTCCAGTTGTAGTTGTTGTACTGCGTTGTAAACAGCAATAAACAATCCACAACAGGATGCCCCGTCCCTTTTAAAAAAAATGTTATTCTATCTTTATGATATTCTTGTTTCATCAACTAATTTGTCAATAATTTACTTCGTTTTAGAAATTGTTCATACATAGAGCGACATGCTCTTAAGCATCGAAGCAACCGATAAGTTCATGCTGACGGTATATTGCTGCATAAGTAAGGGAAGCTGACGATTGAAAAGTTAGACATCACGTTTATCATAAAGCTCGGTTGTTAGATAACTATTTCAAGTAAGATATCCAAATATGAAACAGATGTGTCTGACTCTGTGGTATTTTTTTTATTCTAAATTAACCGGGATATATCGTATTGACATAAGAATGGAAGAAATCATTGTTAGTTGACAAAACGTCGTCGATATTTCTAAATGTCGAGTTGAATGAGCTACACAGCAAGTGTTTTCTGCTTTTTACATTTAAGATATTGGACAAATTCTGCTTCACATGAATACAAAAATATAGGCCTGCTAATAACGGGGTTCAATTGGTAACCATTGAAATTGCAATTGATTGTTGACCTGATCTCCACCTTAAATCACATAGATATTGTCAATCAGAAACTCATGCATCTTTTAATATCTACTTCAGAGTAATTGTATATACAATCACGATATTTTCTAGAAAATAATTCTCCAAATGACCAATGACAAGATTAGTTAATTTACGAGTTCTGTTTTATTGACACAGTCACACAGTACTCCAGAAGCTTGTCTTTCATTACTGGTAACAATTTATGGGAGGAGTAAAGAAAGATGCTTAGTAGAACAAACGATATAACAAAACCTCAATTACCTCGAACATTGTTTTTGTGTTTCCCGCCATGTTTGAGAAATCGAGGTTTTCATACTAATTTTCCTATATTAAATTTCAATCTTGTAATATATGTAATAGCTAGGTTATTTATTTTTTTCCATGATGCATTAACATCATTTTTTGTATAAATGCATTGCGTATGCATCAAAGATTTATCATAATATCCATGCTTTCTTTCATTTTGTTCTTACGAAATAGAATGAAAAAAATGCATAGTTTCTTTTCTTTTCATTTTTTATTATTTTATATATATTTTTAATATTATTTATCAAATATTTTTATTTTAATGAACATTTTCTTCATTGTTAAAACATCCAAATTATTTAATGACGAAATTAACGTTAAAGTAAAATCGGCGGCGTTATGAAACTGACGATAATGATAATAAAAACATCAGACAGAAATTTTAATGACACAACCAAGCTAACAACTAATTTTGATACTTTAAAGTGATAACTAATTTAAATTAGTACCTGCAATCTCCGAAATTACGAATTTTTTTACTGTTAAAAAAATTGGCGTGTAGTATCCAAGCTCTGAAGCAATTTCAACGTTATGGAGAAATTTATCATGCAAGCTCTGAAAATTACATTTATTTAGTTTATATAGGTTTTGTGATGAAAGTTTAAAATAAATCTGTGAATTTAGCGAAGATATAGATAAAAAGTGCCAGTGTGACAATAGTGATAGTGTTTAAATTATTAATATTTGTTTTGTTTTTTGATAGTATGAGAAAAAATATTTTCAGATGTTTGTTTTAATTTTCTAGAAACAAATTGAATTCAAATATCTATAAAATATATTTAATATTTGCTGGTTTCTTAAACTGGGGGCGAGTTGTCTTGAATGGGGGCGAGTTGTCCTAAATTGGGGGCGAGTTGTCCTAAATAGGGGGCGAGTTGTCTTGGGGGCGACCTGTCTTGGGGGCGAGTTGTCCAGCATTCGTATTATTATGTACCTATGAGATGTATGTCTCTTGGTTTTAATAAAATCTGAAATTTACAGCTTACTTGGATAAAACAGTTATATGACCGTCATCTATAGATTTTCTATCCAAGGTGATTTGCTTTATCATATCTGTTAATGAAGATATCTCAGCGGGAAAAAGCTCATTGAGACACCAATCAAGACATTCATATATCTGAACCATGTGTTTCTCCTTTGTCTAAAAATTAAATCCAAAATTAAAATATGTACATCTAAGATTTCAATACAAATTAAAGTAATGTAAATGCTTTATTTTTTTACTAATGATTATTTCTAAGAAATGCACTAATATGATTAAACATTACATTTTTGATCTGTATTTCAGCTCTGGTCTTTCGTATCGTATTGCTCAGTGTTGTCTGTAAGACTTTTGCTATTTTGTATGGTCCAAACTGAACTATCTTTTCCCCTTCTTTAGACCATTCTTTTAACTACATGAACATGCAAGATAAACCTTTTCAGAGAAAATTGTTTATTTTTTAAATAAATGCATATTAACATACATAATTTGTTTAAGGATAAATTAGCATCTGCTAAAAGAGATTGATCACTGTGTTCAAGTAAGTGTTGCCTTTTAAATTTTTCTTTCAACAATTTTTTGACCATTTTTCTATATGCTCTTTACTATCAATTTATTTTTACTCCAATAGTATGTTAGAAAAAAATCAGACTTAATTACAAAATCTTTTTCACTGAGCCGAGAATGTATAAACTTTTTATTTGAGACGATCATTAAGACAACATGCATGTAAAGATAAAACATGAGACATTCATTTAATTATTCATTATTACAGCTTGAAGATAATAATATATCAGATGCCTTACCTCCTCTATAACTGTCAGGGAGTTTAGACAAACCAGGAAAGTTGACTCATGATCAACCAGCAAACGAACAAGATCGATCGCAGAGCCAGGAACCGGATATTGCGCAGAAATAAACTCCTGGGATTGTGTGAATGACTTTTTCATAAAAGATAAAGTTCATTTTATTTGCATTTGTGCTTCCTTTTCTATGTCTCAAACTGCATGATTATTGGTTTTTATTAGTATTTTGTATCAATGTAAAAATAAGAATTTTTCATGAAACACTGAATACGGGTGAAATTAAGAATTAGGATTCATACCGACACAAATACAGCATTGTAGTATGTTCCTCGCCCTTTTACGCTAGATATTAAATGAACCAAGTACCTCTCAACTGAGATTAAAAAAAAATATTTCAACGATTATTGCTTGAATTTCATTGCTACATTTAATATGTATTATTTAATATTGAATATCAATGGATCAGAAACTTTCCTATCTTTTATTTTACAAAAGCAGTACAATTCGATTAGTTTGTTATACTACGATAAAGAGTTTCTTTCTTTTCTTTATAGCTGAGTTTATGATTATAAATTGAAAAACGATAGGCATTCCTAGAAATGTATTTGCAACTGAGATCAACATTTGTCCAGACCATACTTTATTGTTAGTTTTAATTATTTTTTTTTCTATATTGCGCCTATAAAGGAGAGCTTAAGTCACTAACCTGGTAAAACAGATTCCGTCCTATTTTGTTTTGGATGATTTTGCCCAGTCTTGAAATCTTTTGCTTCGTACTTTGGTTGTAAACAGGTGAGAGCCTAGTTAGAATACGATACATATATATATATATATATATATATATATATATATATATATATATATATATATATATATATATATATATATATATATGACATTGTATAAAACTAAAAACAACAGAAACTTCTATACTTTACTATGTATATGCAAGTATTTTATAAATATATATTTCTGAGAATTTTTTTTTTTTATTTCGATCAGTGTTATCTTTATTTTTTGGCTAAAATGAGTCATATTGATTGTTAAGTACGTTGGATAAAGGTTATCTAAATGTCCCTTCCTATTTCTATTACTTTAAACTAGTAAGATAAGCCTTAAACATTGCATTTTTATCGAAAAGGGATCCTAGTATATCACAAAGCTAATTTGAGTCACTGATTTTTTTCGTTTGCCTATCATGACTTGGGCAACACGGCGGAGATGCTGGCTTACTATGTATGATAAACTTTACGTTGGGGAATATAGGGGATAATAAGATAACCTAAAAAAGATTTTTTTAAAAAATCGTAGATAATGTACATGTTTACACGTGGAAATCAAGGCTTAAAATATATTTTTTTAAATATCTCAAAACATTTGACTAAATGGTACATAATGGTCAAATTGATATATAAAAAAGGACGCAATATGCGCAAATAGGAATCAAGAATTGAAATGCATTGAATTCCTACGTTGAATTCGTTTGCGAGATCTTTCTTTGTTTCTGGTTTATCTAATTCTCCATACATCTTTAGAAAAGTGTCCTTTGCGATAAATTGTCCTTGTCGTCTGAAGAATTCGTAGAGCGCATGGTAAAGGAAAATATACTGCTCCTACAATTGATGATCAAATTTAATTTTGCATGAACTTTTTTTATTCTATGAGGAAAACAAATACAGAGTACATGTAAAATTTTTGTTTGAGAAAGAAGGTATAGTTTATGCAAATTGAGACTTGTTGATAAATAATTAAATATTCACCTTTACTTTTGTTGAATCTATTTCAATCAATGTTACAAAATAGAACTACTAAACAGGTCCATTAAATACGCTTTGAAATAATTTTTATGTTAAATTAAGTTTTTATTGGTTGATACGGACGATCTTTCACTGAAGAAATTATTAGCACTCGAATGATACCGGGTATAAAAAAATGAAAGAAAAAATGAACAAGCTCACATACCCCACGCTCCCCCAAAACTCAAAGTGCCAAAAATCCCGGGAAGAATAAAGGAATCCTGATAAATTGAACATCTACACATTGACTGTGTTCTAAATATCTGCAAAGTTTGACAAAATTCTGTGCAGCGGTTTATGAGGAGTTGGGCTGACAAACTGTTCACCTCTATATTCAAGACATGACCAAAAATTTAAGCTGAAAAGTGCCGAAATTCCCGGGAAAATTAAGGAATCGGAATTTCCTGGTAATATGCACATCTACACACTTTACTAAATATCTGCAGCGGTTTATTAGAAATTGCTCTGACAAACTGTTCATATCCATATTCAAGACACGGCCAAAAATTTAGGTTGAAAAGGGCCGAAATTCCCGGAAAATATCAAGGAATCGGAGTTTCCTGGTAATATGCACATCTACACATTGTGTCCTAAATATCTGCAAAGTTTGACTGAATTCTATGCAGCGGTTTATGATGAGTTGAGCTGACAAACTGTTCATCTCTATATTCAAGGTATGGCCAAAAATTTAAATTGAAAAGTGCCGAAAATCCCGGAAAATATCAAGGAATCGCAATTTCCTGGTAATATGCACATCTTCACATTGTGTCCTAAATATCTGCAAAGTTTGACTGATTCTGTCTAGCAGTTTAAAAAGAGTTACCTGAAAAACTGTTCATCTCTATATTCAAGGTATGGCCAAAAACAGACTTGTTTACCCATATTGTTGTCTCTCAGTATTTTTTATTAGATTTGTCTGCGAGATTTGGAATTTCCCAGTAAGATTTCACTTTCCATCGATTTTACAAATATTAATGGAGAGCGCCTACTTTTCTGATTACTAAAACGTGGTTTAATAACATGGTCTTTGCTATTTGTTCCACAGCGTTATGCCAAACCGACATAGCTTCTGTGTTTGAAATCTTTTTTAGCGATTAAAACGCGTGAAACTGAGACAGATCATAAGAATTAATTGTACATGTATATTATTGTTTATCGTAAGAATATTGTATATGATTGTTTAACGTCCCTCTCGAGATTATTTCACTAACATGGAGACGGCATCACTTGCCGATGGAGAGCTGAAAATTTTGTCCTATATCTGGCACTCAGGGCTATTGAGCAGGTGGGATCTTTTTCGTGACAACACCTGCGATACGGGACCTCGATCGGTTGATACGGTCTCATCCGAAGTGCCGGTCTCCACGTCCCAGAGTGGGATTCGAACCTACGACGTAAGGATAAACCTCTTACTTGGCGACTCTAGAGTAGAAGCTCTAACCACCTGATCATAACGAAATATTACAATCAAATATATTTCCTATTTTCGTATTTTCATAATAGGAAGACGTGAGACGTATTTTGGACTAAAAATTCGTACAAAATACGGCGAAATCGTAAGAGTAAACAGGTCTGCAAAAATCTAAGTTGAAAACTGCCGAAATTCACGGAAAAAAATAAAGGAATTGGAATTTCCTGGTAACATGCACATCTACACATTGTTTCCTAAATATCTTCAAAGTTTGACTGATTCTGTGCAGCGGTTTAAAAAGAGTTACGCTGAAAAACTGTTCATCTCTATATTCAAGGTATGGCCAAAAATTTATGTTGAAAAGTGCCGAAATTCCCGGATAAAATCAAGGAATCGGAATTTCCTGGTAATATGCACATCTACACATTGTGTCCTAAACATCTGCAAAGTTTGACTAAATTCTGTGCAGCGGTTTATGAGGAGTTGCCTGACAAAAAAATAGGACTGACGGACTGACTGAGACACTGACTGACTCATTGACTGACGGACGGGTCAAAAAAATAATACCTCACACAACTTGTTGTATGGGATATAAAAAAACGGATAAAGTGATTTAAAGGCTAAGCTTAAGGATGTACAACACACCTACCCCAAAAAAATCCTGTCGTTTAATTTTCGTTATTTTTGTATATTTAGTACATGACTATATCTACTGCATGTATGCACATTTTAGACAAGATCGTTCGAGTGGTTTATGGACAGGAAATTCCAAAAGTTACCCCCCTTTAGTTGTTTACAAGGAGAGAAAATTTTTAATCAATGAACTACTTAAACTCTGAATTTCAAAAAAGCCAGGTTAGATATAAATGTCAAATTTTATTGACATTCCTTTAACCATTTAACACAGAAACATAGTCATCTTTTTGGTATAAATATCATCAAAACAATTTTTAAAGACCTTAAACTGAAAAACTATGAATTATCTGAGCCTTGAAAATTGTGTATTTTTCAAATTCAAATTTTTTTTTGTGAAAAAACCTGTCGTTTAATTTTGGTAAAAAACTTACTTTGGGTAGCTGGTAGTAAAAATAATCTTCATAATTTTTTTGTATAATTTTTGTACGACCAGTTTTGATTTAATAGCGAAAAATTACCCCCTCCCCCTTTCTCAATAAATCACGTTCCCGCGCGTCTTTCAGACGGGGGTCGATCACTTTGCTATGAATCTACAAATACACATTTTAAAAAAATCAAATTGGAATATTGCTTTTGCTTCAAAAATATATTAACTTACAAATTTAAAAGTTCTCATTTGTAAAGCATATTTAAATGTAGATTTTAGGCAATTTTTGAATACCCCTACCACCCCCACCCCTTCCTTTTTTGCGTCGCAGACCATTAGCGTTTGACGAAACGTCATTTACAGTGCAAATATACTAGTATTTCGTCATTTGAATCCCGGAGGTAAGCATTAGTTTTTAAATGCAGAATAAATATTGACTACTGTTCTTATATGTATCAGGAAAAAATTACTGAAGGATTATAGTGTTTAGCCCATATATTGTATGCGTTATGCATTCCATATCACATGCATGAAACCTGGATACGAATTCAAGTTATGTTGAACTTGAATATGTTGATTTTTAATTTTATTTCTTTAATTTTATTTATTAAAAAAATGATGTATGTTCAACTCTCCTGTGATATAAATGGAATAATTGTAGTTTCTTTCATCCATTATTTCAAACGAGACAGTATGTGGCCGTGGGGATACATCGACATTTGCATTGATGCACACCCCTCATGATATTGTACGCATTCTTTCAATTCGTTGCTTCTAAAGTTAAAATGAAAAATCCTTATTCGTCCACATTAACTTCAAAATATCAAACATTAAACTCTTCATCTATTTCAATTTATATCAAATCGCACATTGATATTTTTAAAAATCTTATAGGCTACGTTTTGTTTTGATTCGAGGAAATGCGAACCGACATTCTTGACAGTGACAGAAAGTAAAACGATTTGCTGCAATAGGATATTCATAAATGCAGATAATTTCAGTACTAGTTAACAATTTTTTTTTCAGTTATATACTTACATTGTGTATATGAGGTCTATAGTATTCAATTCTCGGATTTATCAGTCTTGCTGTAAATATCTGATTCTGTGGAAAACCGTGAATAAAGGGAGGAAAATAAACATCTCCTATATTTTCAGAGTTGTTCCTCTTTGATCAGTAAGGGTCTGAGAACAACATCGATTTTACATTGTAAAAAGTTTTTTGTTTGTATATTGTTGTTTTATTTAATTAAAGAAGAAAAACAATATTTATATCGTAAATGCACAAAGTGTAATGAAGACCATTAATCGGAATGTTATATAGCCAATTAGAAAAAATGCTGCGCGTTGATCAAGAATACAATTTATTGTATATGAAATGAAATGAAATAAACATTAAGGAATGATATTTTATTTCTCGCTTTCTACGGAGTTTAATCGGGTTAATAAAAAAAAATACTTATTGATTGAGTATGGTACGCATAATCGCAGCCAAGCCCCATATGCCATTTTTCTTTTGTGATTGATATACATCGGGATCGTTTTACTCGTCATTTTGACGCTTTATTTTTGACGTTAAATTTGACGTCACGTCAAACGTTCAATTGAAATCGCAAGAGTTATCTCCCCCAGTGTGTTGTACGTCTTTAATAAATAATAAAATATTGATAATAATTTCTTTTATTTGAAATGTAAGTATTTTAAGGGATGCTCACTACTCCATGGCATCTGAGCCCACCCCTGATGTTTTGGAGGTCCGTGTTTGCTCTGCTCTTATTTTGCATTGTTTTAAGGACTTTGAACTTGAATACTGTTCATTATATTCATATGTTTCATTAGTTCAATGAGTATACTGTCGATTGTCAGAGATGCTAAGTCCTTCATGGTACCTAATCCATCTTTGTTTTCGAGATCTGTGTTTCCACAGAGTTAACATTGTGTTGTTTCAGTGTATTTTTGAGTTAAATTATTG